GTTTTCCAAAGTGGCAAGACCATTTGACATTTGTACTGTCTATTACTGTAGTCTCACAAGAGCCCAGTCTGAAAACACTAAAGTTCCATTCGTATTTATCCAACATCCAAGAAGTTAGAAGTGTCCAGAAGTAGTATTATCATCTCTGGAAATAATGAGTGTCCTGGCCCTGTGGGTATCAGGGTGGGGCTGGTCAGGGGTGCTAGGTGATTTGGCCCTTCAGATTTCCTCTGATTCTGTTTTCTGGGATGCTATGAACATGAACATCACTCTGCCCAGCATTCCTGACCCCACCCTCATATTTCTTCCCACTTGGCTCACTAGACAAATGTGTGTCTCATTGTTTGACATTTTTATCAGTTTGACTGATGTGTTTCCCTGAGTTGATATTTTTCATGCAATCAATTGGATCTCTTAGCAGCTTTTGCAGAGAAGTGGTAAGTTAATGGACCACCCACATTCTGTTTCAGGTTCACCTGCTGACCTTTCTAGGGCTGGACCTATTTCACTCAATTACTCTCTCCTTTAGCTTCCCCTTCTGGGGGTAACAGTGTTCAGCCTTTGGAATCCTGCAGAGCATCCCAAGAATAGGAATAACTGAGTAGTGATGCTGGTAATCATGAGTAGAAAGACAGCTTTAACTCGGTCCTCTTTCCAGGGGAGTCTGGAATATGACAGATCTCAATTTGTACAATCCTGAGAAAATCATTCAACCCTTTTAAATCCTGGGGAAATGGGCATTCTTAGCAAAGACTTCATTTAGGTAAAGCACCTTGCATAGTGACTGTTATAGCACATTCCCTTTGGGAATCATTATTTTTGTTTTCACTGTCTCTAAATCTACCCTCTCTCCTACTCCATAAAGGGATGGTGGTCATCTCAGACTGCATAGGGATATAGCACTAGACATAGACCAGAAGCTAGGGTCCAAGTTGGAACTAGGGATGCCATGGTGACTCATAGGAAGTGATTTAGGGTATTGTTTCCTCATGGTGACACTAGCCCAAGATTAATTTAGAGTGATTTCCAATATTATTTCTGAGCTCTGGACCCCAGTACATTTTTCTGCCCAAAGATTTTACATGTCTACATGTTCCAGGGCTCCTTGACTTCTCTCAGCTCTCTTGGGCCTCTGAAAGGAGATTTTACCCAAATTCTTCAGGGTGGAAGGACAGCTGAACAGTTCTGAGGTACTTTTCTCCTAAAACCCAGAAGTAGAAAGTAGATATGACTAGTCTCTGTTGATCTGTCTTTGCCAGAGAACTCAGTAACTTTTAATACGTACAGATTTTGTTTATGAAGAGATTTCCCTAGACCAGGCCTTCATTATCCCCAAGAACTGGAAAAGACAAAGCAGAACATGCCCTCACCTTGAGAAATGCCTATGAATAATTCTCTAAAGCAGCACAGCTAATTTTCCACCTCTCATCTGTGGTCCTGGTCTCTCCCATCTCATCTCTCTTCTAAACCACTCTCAACATCCCTGGTTTGTGAAACAAATTAATTCATCCCTCTCTCAGAAATGTGACCAGAAGACCAAGACAGTGGGTTTCTACCAAGAACTGACCAGTGATGGATACAAGAGCTGAGTGAGCAGGGGATGTCTCTCCTACTTGGCCCGACCTGGCCTGGATCTGGGTATGGATAGGAGAGTGAGAGTCTGAAAACACTGAAGTTCTACTCCTATTAATCCAGAAGGTTAAAAGTATCCACAGGTAGTATTAAGTGTCTCTGGAAAGAGTAAGCTTCTTGTCCCTGGTGGAGACCACACTTGACTTGAATCCTAGCCACTTTGTGCCTGAGTCACACAAACCCAAACAAGTGACTTCTGGAATCAGTGTCCAGACTCCCTATCTATAAAATGAGGGTAGAAATGCTCCCTCACAAGACTGTTTTGGGGATTAAAGATCATGTATATAGAGCACCTGGCACATGCTAGGTATTTAATACACCATAGTTACTTTTATTATCCTTGTGTGTCTTTTTGCATAAGACAACCCAACTGAAATCCTACCACCAATTTCACCAGTTTCTCAGATGCATGACTGCAAGGGAAGGGCAAGGCTGGCTAGGGTCTTGAACAGAAGCTCTCCTATCTCCATTTGTATAGTCTGAAGAGGGACATAAGCAGGTTCTTTGCTTTTCCACAACTTTATCCTTGGAGGGAAGCCTCAGAGTGATAGTTGGGTTAGAATTGAAATCCCTCAACTGTCCCTTCTCAGCTACTTAACTTTTAGAAACATCTTACTCAGGAGGATGTTAGTGCAGGTGGCTGGCTTTGCACAATCATTATTAATTTTTGATTATACACATCATTCTTGGCTTTCCAAATGTTCCCTCACCCTCCAAAACCCACTCCAAACCATGGAAAATTAGAAGTTGGCCTTGAACACCATGTTCTGCCTCCACTTGCCCCTCACAGGCCATACCTGTTTATGGGACAAACAGAGGAATCTGATTTCCAAGGCTGTCAATTTGGAAGCCAATCTACTTGATAAAAAGATTGGAAACAGCGTCTCAATGACTTGCAGCTAAGCCTGAAGGCCTTGGCCTCGGGAGAGGCTCTCACATTACAAAACTTGATGGAAACCACTTGTGTGGGGGCTTGAAGACACAAGGTTCAGGTCACTTTGTTCCTGCTGCGGGAATCTGGATAGGAGACAGAGCTGTCTCCAGATCCCAGCCTTAGATACCACCCGAGCAGTGAGCTGGCCCAGAAGCATGGGCCTCATCTCTCCAATCAGCTACTTCCCTCTTTCCAAACTCTCCACCCCATCTCTGTTTCCATCCGTGTTGGAAATCAAACTCAGCTCTCCCTTCCTGCTATTTTGGGTTGACCCAGGTAAAACAGCATGCTTTGAGTGTCAGAAGAGAGGGGAGAAGATGGCAGGAAGATTTAGATGGATTTCAGAGAACACCATTTCTCTGTCCCAGGGTTCCAAGATCAGGTTCATAGAGACCCAGTCCTCTGAGATCCTCTGATAGCCTCAAGATGGAATAAATATGGCAATCAACAGCAGAACCTAGGAGGACATTTGAATGTAGGAAGCACAATTCTAGGAGTCACACACATGGACAAACTATCAGACCACTGAGAATGACTTTTTAGACCAAACCACCAAAATTAACAACAATTACAAATACAGAAATGAAAGCAGGTTAACAAGAACCTCAATCCTCTCAAACAGGCAGATCTGGTGTGCGCTCCACCACACATTCCTGGAAATATGATCCACAAATTCCCTTTGGTGCTTAAGTTATTGTGAGTTGGGATTCTGTCACCTGTAAGCACAAAGTTCCAACATACAGTAAGTCACTTGCCCCAGGTCACACTGTGGGTGAGAAGTACATTTAGGGTGTTAACTGAGACACATTTCTACCCTTTCTCCATGGAGCCTTTTATATGCCTCCTTCCCAAGGAAAGTTCATCATCAACTGTCAGAGGTGTGGGGGGAAGGAAAATTAAGTATTTTGTTCAATAGCAAAATGTACCAACAATTGTTCTAGGTGTTGGGACTGCTGTGGTGAGGAAGACAGCAAAGGACACAGGTAACTGGGGGACAGGTTTGTGGACAGACTGGATGGAAGGACAGGAAGAGATGAGGCAAGCAAGAGCTCCAGCTATGCTCTGTGGTGTCAATTAGGGATGTCTTCTGTCCGATGCCAGGACAGCTGAGCGCACTGCCTTCTGAGAAAGTGCATCCATTAAATGTCTTGAGTATAATTTTCTGCAAACATCTAACTTGGCAGTTACCACATTCCACTTTTGTAGGACAAAGGGCAGAGCTTAAGTATAACACCTGGCCCCTTGCATTTAGTCCCCCTACATAGATGAGAAAATTGAAGCTCAGAGAGATTAATAGCAACCACTCTTTCATGTCTCCCTCCCTGCAGGGCTGATGAGGGAGCAGATTAAACAGAGGTCTGAAAAGCCAAGGGTGCTTCACAAATATAATGTCCATTATTCAAGGAGGTGGAAACTCACATTTCTTTGATTGAATCACCTTTTTGCTCTACTCTAGGTGGAATCTGGGACACTGAATAACACATAGCTGACTTCTACAAAGTCCTGTCTGTTGAAGGGTCAGAAACAGAGACACATTAATGTGAGACTATCTTCATTGCATTAAGACATCAGCTACTCCAAGGAAAATCCCAAAGTGAAACTTATGGCTCATACACAAAGCCTCTGCAAAAGCCTGCCTTGCAGTTAGGAAAACAGGTTAGAACCAGATCCTCCACTGACAAATTCTCCCTAAAAAGATAAGAATTAAAGGGGTTATGATATAGTCTCAACTGGCCATAGTGGCACACACCTGTAATCCCAGCTACTCTGGAGGCAGGAGGATTGCAAGTTCAAAGTCAACCTGGGCAACTTAGTGAGAACCAGTTTCAAAAAATGAAAAGGGTTGTGGATCTAGGTCAGTGGAGCATCCCTGAGTTTGATCACCAGCACCACAAAAAAGATATACATTCTCATTTAGGAATACAGATTTGTGTATTATTTGGATCTTCAGGGGTGTTTCAGACAGAGTTCTCAGTTGCACATAATAGGAATGGACTAAAGGTTATTATGCTAATTTCTTCTTCAGAAAAGAAATGAAATAGAGCAACATCAGGTAGAACACAGAATCAACAGGAAGAATCTCACACTTGGGTGTTGGGTCAGGGGTGTGCCTTCGGAGTACAGTTCTTGCTTAGCATGCACAAGGCCCTAGGTTTGATCTGAGACAGAGAGAGAGAGAGAGAGAGAGAGAGAGAGAGAGAGAGAGAGAGAGAGGAAGGATGAGAATGGGGAAGAAAAGTCAAACTTATGTCCAAGAAACCACCTGCTCAGGGTGCCATTGCTACTACCACTTGACCCAGGACACTACCACTGCCAGTACTTGCATTATCTTAGACCCTGGATTCTGGGTACCACCACCAATGGAAAAAGTGCAATACCATCCCTGATTCTTGTTGTCAAACTTTTTTTTTAATTTTTTTTTTATTTTATTCAGAAACTTTTTAAGATGCAAAGCCCTGTAGAGGGAGCACCTGCCAGATCTACATGAAGTCACACAGCTATGGCCCAGCCTCCAAGACTCCAGGAGAACAGATGTGACACTTGACACTTCCTCTGTGAGGACCAGAACCTGCTTCACTAGACACACAATGGCGAATCCTCCTAAGCACCAAAGAGGTTGAGAGGACAGACAGCCGGCAGGGCACTGAGTGTCCTCTGCTTGTGTCTTTTTATGAATCCTTCCATTTTTCTGCAACCCACCCACTGGATGCAGATCACAAAATCTCATGAGGTTTGGGGACAGGGGTTTCTTCCTGGGGTCTTATTCTGTTCTTTTCAGCAAGTGAACACTGAAGGTTAAGAACCTCACCACCACTACTACCAGCAGCCCTTCACTGGGGTCCCATTCAATCATGAAAGAAAAATTTGGGAAACTGAGACTCAGCCTCCATGGACTGTATACCTCCACCTTTATCTTACGCTAACCTATTCAGTTGCTCTAATCATTCAGATTTCTCACCTCAGCCCCTCAGCTTGGGGACCTATCTTGCTCTCACCTCCCACCCACAGCCAATCCCAAAAGGGAATCTAGAATATTCATGAATGCCCAGATAGAGCATTCACACAGAGCTGTGGGTCCAGGAGAGGTGCAGAGCAGACTCCATTTTCATTCCAGCATGGAAACTCCACCCTAGCGCATCTTCCTGTTTTTAACAAGATAGATCTGCCTTCTCTGGCAAACATGCCTAACCAAGCCCAAAATCAGGATGCCCCATCCTTGGCCTTGAGCCTTCACCCGCCAAAACAAGTCTTTCTGGGCTGGCCAGAAGATTCCAGATCTTAGAACGGAAGTTTCTCAGCTCCAGGCTCTGCGTGCTGACTCATTTCTCATGGATAAGTTAAACCTCCTTTGGGAGAGAGAGCTAAACTACAGGTGCCCCAAACTCAGTTCCAAAAGCCCTCCAGGAGCAGTGCTCAGAGGGAGCCAGGAGAACTGGAGACAGGGTGGCAGGACTGGGAGGGAGCCAGAGCTCAGGAAATGAGCTTCTGCCCTTCGGGTAGTTTCCAGGAGTGACTCCTTGCAGCCAGACGGAATGGGATGCATACAGCTGCCTCCCCGACGGGGTTTCAGTGTTTGCTTCCTCTCCAAAGCTGTGGCTGGAAAGGACTGTCATGAAAACAAGACTCAGAATCCTTCTTCAATTTTCCTTCAGCCCAAATGTAGCAGAAATGCAGTCAACAAAAATACTAGCAAATAATATCATTGGCAATATCAGTAACTCTGCACAGGATTAATCGATCATGTTGCTTAAGAAATAATCTTTGTTTGGTTTTTACACTTTTAGATCCTGGGAAGCAAGACTAGTTTAGAGAGAAAGATAGAGGATTTAGGATTGTGAGGGAAGTGTCAGCTGGGCACTTTCTAGGTCTAAATTAAATGGTCTTGATTCTATTTAAAATACTATATGTATGATTTTCTTGTGAAAGAGGAAATATTCATTCATTGTGGAAAAGATTAAAAATTCAATTAAAGGGAAAGATTTTTTAAATCTTCCCTCTGAAATCCATAAGTTCCAGATTTTTTTCTATGTACTTTTCAATGCTTTGTTTTTATAAAAATGGAATCACACATATTTTGTAAATTTTTTCTCAATTGTATCAATGACATCTAATCTTTTATTTTAAATACTCGTGTAGTATATCATCATATGTACATTCTATCACCTATTCAACAATAATTATTATTAAATACTTAGCATGTTTCCAACTTAGCATCATAAACAATGCTGTAATTAGCTCTTGTCTTCCTTATACTGGGTGAATTTGTAAATCTGTTCCCCTACACATTAATATCAATAATAAGAAGAATCTTTATTTCTTAACTATATCTAAATTTACTTAACAACTGGCTTCATTTGTTTTGGTAAGAATATCATGACAATCTTTCTCTTTTGGTTGCATTTGTGAGATAAGATCAATATTTTGTTCACCTTTTAGTTTATTTCCTTAGGCATTACTTATACTCTGTTTTACTCACTTTGGGGCCATGTAGACTATTTTAACACTAGAATAATAGTGCACACAACTTGAAAGTACTAAGTAGAGATTAAAGCAAGTAAAGTTCGGTACTCCATAAAGATGTTTTGCGAATAAAAAAAGAAAATAAGTTGCTTCCAAAACCTGTGGCTTTAGACCTGAGGGCGTGCCAATAGTTTTCAAAACAGTAGTGCTGCTTCAGATACATCTGTTTGCCCCCACACATACTTATGTCCATCAACCTTAATCATTGTCAATTCATAGAAAAGGGGGAGTTGGGGGGATACGGTGTGAAGTGCAGTGGAATTTAGAAGTATCATGGAAAAAAAAAGATGTCCCCCAGGGAAAAATGAAGCATGGGGAGCCAACTTTGGATCAGATGATTTCCAGTGCCTTGGACCAAGAACTCTCTCAGTGGCATCTAAAGTGGTACAAGGACATGAGCCACTGGTTAGTCCTGTAACAAACATGTGAAGTTACATGCTTTTTTCAGGTGATATATATATGTGTGTATATATATAGATATATAGAGAGAGATATATATCTCTTATGGAAGAGGTATGTCTGAGCAAAGTTTTATTTGCAGACTGCATAAGAAGGTCACCCAAGGAAAATGTTGTGGATGCTCACAGGGATAGAATCCTGGGCCCTCACTACCCTAATGTGAGATCCCCAAGCCTTTCCAAAGACAACTGACTTAGTTAATAGCACACTGAAACCCCCAACCCAGAATACTAAAGACCTGTCAGGACCCAGGTAAAAGAAACAATGACATGTTTGAAGTGTTCTTCTTGGGCTTCTGATTTCCTTTCTTTTACCCTTAACATGCACAGTCTCTCAACGCTCCCAACAAACTTTAGAGGTAGATTCCATCATTTTTCTCACTCTACAGATGAATGGACTGAAGCTCAAACCACTACGGTAAAGCCAGAACTTTGAGCTGTGTTCTCTAATTCTGATCAGTTCCCTTCTTCCAATAACTGCCTGGCTCAATCACTCCTAGTATCTCACTCCTAGTGTAGTGGAAACAAAGGCTCAAACAAGACCCCAGAAATGCCAGCTTTCTTCCTATTGTACCCAAAAAGAAAGGAAATGAAGTGAGGTGACAATACCTAAAGTCACTTTGGAGTTCTGAGCACAAAGGAAAGGTCCCATGTTCTTCCCATCATAGCAGAACAGAATCCAATCCTTTGCGGATTTCTAAGAGATATTGAGCAGTCAACTCCTTTCAGAAAAATTAAATATAAATGTGTAACGCTGCACCTGCTTATTCTTTGAAAATCCCACGCCAAGTTGAATGGCTTGGAGTGAGCTGTTTAGTAACCCCAAGGATCACACAGGGACACAGGATGGTAATGCAAGACACGCATTTGTTCCTCCCCTTTCCTTAGCAGCTTTCCACCAGGAGGCTGTGAGGTCAAGACCACCACATGTTGCTGAGGACAAAAAAGTTAGAGCCTGAGGTTCTCCAGAGGCCTCTCCCATCCCGCCACACCCACTGTGCTCTCCCTGACAGCCCTGTTGTGTTCACATCTACTGCTTCCGGCGACCCATCTGGCTGGGCAGCAGGGCTGAGTGAGGGGAACAGACACTGAGACACAGATCATCTGGTGCTAAGTGTTTGTTGAAGCTGAGGAGAGTCTGGTATGCTGGCTTGAAGGCTGCTGTCTAACATCAAAGCAAGAAAAAAGTTAAACAAATAAGCCATCTGAGATGGTCTCTGAGCTGGGGGAGCTGTCATCCCATGAAGTCCCCATACTCTGCCAAGTGCTCTGCCATCAACGAGGGCCTCATTCAGCTGAAATGGAAACTCCTACTGATGGGTATTTCAAAGCCTTCCATCTCCCATCCTCTCCCACCTGCTTGAATTCCTTTAAAAAGACCACAAGGCATTTTCTCTACTCTCAGAAAGACAAAGTGTCGCCCACCTCCATCTCCAGCCTCTCAAGGCTGTCTCTGACCATCCCTTCTCAAAGACCAGCCCACCAGCTTGCTGTCCAGACAAGCTCGCATTACACCAAATCCCCAACTCTGGCGACACTTCTCAGAGGCCTCCCTCACCCAACATCCTCACACCTCCGCCATCTTCACCACATACCCTAAATTGCATGCCAGGAGAAGCACAGATCACAAATGTCCCACAGCCACGACTGCAAAGCCAAAGACATACATCATATTGCAGGAAAACAATTATCCTGTGAAACTAAAACAGCCTCAGAAATCTCATCTCCTCCACATTCAATGGATTTTCTCTGGCTCACTCATCAAACTGCCTCCTTCTAGCAGATTCTGAGACCTTCTCCTGCCCTAAAAAGTAACAGGGTCCTCAGTGGAGCTCCAAGATACCTAAGAAATTAGATATCTTTATCCGCATTTCATGGGGAATAAATGGAGTATTGCCAAGCTCACACAGCTGCAGAGAGCCAGCCTCTGAGATTCAAACTCAGATCTGTTGACAACCCACATTCTAGCAAGGGCAGCCTGTGACACAAGGGATGTGCTCAAAGTTAGACATGTTCAGTGGGTTAGAAAAACAAGGAACAAGATAAAGGACAGGCCCAGAGATAGGAAGCAGCAGAGATGAGCTAGGAAGGTAGGTTACCATCAAGGTAAATTGCTGAACTTTTACTAAAAATTGCAGGCATTTAACCATGGCAGTTTTTAAGCAGAAATGTATTAAGGGAGAGGAAAGAATAAAGTAATAAAACAAATCTCTAAAACTTGTATGTCTGAGCCCCTGCCTCCAGAAAAGCTTCCCTTACACCATCCAGACCAGGTGCAATGGTTTCTCAGAAATCTAAGCCTCTCCGCGCCCACATGGTATGAAGCCCCATGCAAATGCCATTAAGCTGTCACCCGAGGCTCCCTGCCACGGATTGTCCCCGGCTCCAGCTGCCCCTCAGGACAGCACAGTCACAGCAGTGGTTTAGGGGGCAGCTGTGGCTCACAACACAGAGCTTTGCTCTCCAGCTGGGCTCTCAGCCTTGATACAGAGTCTGTGATTTGGGGCAGGAAAGCTCCCGCCTCCCCACACCAGGCTTTAAGTGCATGATAAGTCACATAAGATCTCCCATTAAACCTGTGTTATACCAAAGTCATTGGCATGAACTCCTGTGCTGTCTCCGCCTAGGGCAGGCCTGGGATCCCGCACAAAGATGTACACTGAGCTCTAAGTACTCAAAGGTCCAACCCTTCTAGCTGGGAAGACAGCACCCTGGTCCCACTGTCCGAGGCCAGTCACAACCTTGCTATGGGGTTGGGAACAAGTCCTTGACTTCTGCCAGGTCTCAGCACCTCACTTGGGGAATGTGCCACATGCCCTCCCTACCCTGCAGGATAATCAGGAGAACAGGAGAACATGGGAGCCAACTTCCTGCTTGCTGGAATACTGGGAGAGACAGAGGATAGGTAGACAGACAAACACAACCTCTTCAGATTTCCAGAAAAGTGTAGAAAGCAGAAGTTCTCTCTCAGCTTCCTCACAACACATTCCTACTTTCAAGATGGCATGTCCTAACTTCTGGAAAGAGAACGAGAAAAACACAAAGAGTGATCAAAATATACAATGAATGTTTAAATTTTTTTAAATTTATTACAGTAAAAGATGCATTGCCACCGATTCCCCTCAAAATATTTCCCGTCTATTTGAACACATTTATCCCAACATTCTTGCCACTTTCTGAAGCAATTCTGGAAGCCCTCCTTCAGGAGCATCTTTATGAGGTGTGATCAAAAATATGGTGAATGTTACTACAAAGTCCCATGGAAACAAAGGCAGGCTTCTAAAAATGTGACAGTGTGTCCTTATCACCTTATTCAGCAGGTCTGGCACTGTGCAACTTCTGGCTCTTCCTTACAGTCAAATGGCTATGAAAGGCGAATGTTTTAAATCAGTTCAGGACATCAAGACAGCCAGAGCAGCACACCTAAAGATGAAGCAATTACTTGCAATTCAGTTCCAGGGAGATAGACACTGTCTAGAGAAATGAGGAGTGGCATGTGCTTGGCCATCCCTGCTCCATCTCTGTTGATCTGTATGCTCTTGGGTGAGTTAGTCACTCGCTCTATGCCTCAAGTTCTTTAGCTGTAAAATGAGAGTATTCGTAGTGTCAGCAGCTAGAGGTGCATGGTGTCTAGCACAGACGTGGTCCTCGGTGAACAGTGGCTGGTCGTGTCAAAGGAAATCTTAACTTCCAGGCTTTTCTGTGTCCTCACCTCCACCGCAAACACCCCACATCTAACTTGTAGGCGTGACCCTGGGTGAGCCTCCTCCCTCCTCCTGTGCCTACCCCTTGACCAGAGGGGATCTCTGGAGATCACTGCCAGCCACAGAAACAGAGCTCACGCTGCCTCCAAACTGCTGCGGCTGTGCATGACTGACCCAGGAGACCGAGGTCCCCGCAGGGAAGAGCCCTGTCCTCAGCAGCTGACAGAGGTCCTCAGTGTGGCATCAAGGGCTCGCTTGTT